AATCTTTAAAAAAAATTGAGAAAGTTTTTACACTGAAGAGCTGTTATTAAATTAAGACTACCTAAATCACTTTTTTAGAACAAGGTCTGTATAGACATTTAATTGGATCTTTAATTTCCCTTATTTATAATAGATTCCACATTTCGATTCTTGCTGCCTTAAGCTGCCTTTAGGTGAAAGTTGTCATATCCGGCTGCCCAGGCCTGTGGAAGCCGGCCGTGGGGTGGGTGCCCGCATGCTGGCTGCTGCATTTTCTCTCCCGTTTACGCTTTGTCTCTCCAGGCTCCCTCATTTGGATGTGTGGAATGAATTTTTTCACATCATGTTGAATATACCAGACTGTCATCATCTTCCGTCTTTGGATTTGTTAAGGCAAAAGCTGAAGAATGTATTTCAGGAACACTATACGAACAAGATTAAGACTCTACGTAATAGGCTAATTGTCCTGCTCTTGGAATGCAAGCGTTCTCGAAAATAAAATATGGCCACTCCCTAAAGATCACTTTACAAATGTTGGCCTGCTGACCTTGAACCTTGACGGTTCCACATTCATTGTTTGTGTAAATGTTTGTTATAAATAAAATCTGCAAAACATATCCATGTGACTTAGTTGTTAAAAATATTTCAATGGAATATGCAACTCAGTGAGGCCCCGCCGTGGCGGGGCACCTGGGCTGGTGCAGGGACAGCGGCATTCGTGAGAAGAACTTGCATGTGGACATTCTCCAAAATCCCTTTTTAAACACTGACCAGTTCACTTTAAGCCGAAAAAGTTCATGACAGGTTTTTTCCCAAACTTGAGGGTTTATATTTGTGTGAAATAAATAAAAATTTCCCAAATATATCCAAGGGACTGACTGCAAGTTTTTATGAATAAAATTTGCCGGCCTGTTATTACACCTGTCCTTCATTGCCACCCATGGGAAATATTACAGGTAGAAATCTGAAGCTGCTTTTATTTTAAAAGTACCATTCAGAGGAATATCTCAGATGTTGCAAATAGTCTTATAAACTGTATAAATCATTAATTATCTCTAAAATTATAGCAGCAACTTAGCATTTATTGACTTATAAAGCTAGAAGGGTCCTGTAGCTTCAAAACTATAAACTGAACTGAACTTCCTGCCTCTGCGCCTCCCCCCTTTCCTTCCATTATGATGGAAACAAATGTGAGATTCAGGAATACAGAGTGAATTGCTTCCTACCTTCATTCCCAGCCCCCAGGTTCCCCATTCCAGAGGCAACCATGACCCAAACCCTTCTAAATCTTTCCAAAAATGATTCCATGCATATTTCTATATTTTATATTTTTCATACAACTAGCATAATTCTGCTTTTTTTCACTTAACGTATAGCGGAGAATGTAACTACACATAGAGTGGTCTCTTTCTTGTATCTGGCTATAATATTTGGTTAGATGATGTATCTGTAGTGTAAATTCCCAGAAGTGGAAATGCTGAGTCAAAGGTGAGTGCACTTAAAATTCTGTATCAATATTTGCACAGAGCCCGCATCGGGGCCGTGCCAGCCTGTACCACCGTCTCCACCGTCTCTGCTGCCCAAGCTCCACCCACCGGACAGGTCAGGCCTGCCCCCTGCCACTCTGCAGGTGAAAAATGGCAGCTCCTTGCAGTCTTTATTTGCAGCCTCTTCTGGATTAGGCCAAATATATTCAAGAGCTATGTGTTTTCGCCTTTTATGTGAACTCTATCTTTTGTCCACATTTCATTTTGATTGTTCCTTTTCAGGTTAACTTGTAGGAGCCCTTTGTTTATGAGGCAAAATATTTGTCCCAATTTGTCATCTGTCTCTTGGGATTCTTTTTTTTTTTTTTTAGGAAGATTAGCCCTGAGCTAACTGTTGCCAATCCTCCTCTTTTTGCTGAGGAAGACTGGCCCTGAGCTAAGATCCGTGCCCATCTTCCTCTACTTTATATGTGGGACGCCTACCACAGCATGGCTTGCCATGTGGTGCCATGTCCGCACCCGGGATCCGAACCAGCGAACCCCGGGGCGCCAAAGTGGAACGTGCTCACTTAACCGCTGTGCCACCGGGCTGGCCCCTGTCTCTTGAATTCTTAAGATTTCTGTTGCCATGAAGAAACTTTTTAAAGTTTGCTTTGTACTCATCATAAAATTTTAAATGGCTTTTTTGGCTTTTGTATCTTAAAATGCCATCCTCAATTGAGAAATAAAAAACGTCCTCTAATTTTTTTAGATTAGTACTAATTTAAATACTTAGGACTAAACTTTTGGTTACTATTTTAAATCAGATCTAGTTTTTTCCTCTTGTTCCTAGCTGGTAGTTTGAATATATGAAGCCTGTTGATTTCTATGAAAAGCTTTTTTGATTCTTTTGAAGTTTCTCATGAAAATAGTGCTTCTTTTTTCTTTCCCGGTGTTTTGCTGGGGAGTCCTCTTGCCTTGCCCTCGCCCAGGAGCATGAGAAGAGGGCTGCGCCATGGCGGTGCTGGGCCTCCTGTCTCTGCTTTAGCGGGGGCTCTTCTGATGGTTATCCCGTAAGCTCGGTGAGGCCAGTCTGACGTAGGCATTTTCAATCATGTTGAAGTCTCCAGCCATTTCTTTTTACAAATGTGAATTATAACACTATTTTAGAGTTTTCTTGCCCATTTCTCCATCCATATTGGTCCAGCTCTATGCCGTTCCCCCACACGCATGAACTATATAATTTACTTAAGCAATCCTCTATTTAGAAACACTTAATTGGTTTCACAACTTTATTGCTACAAAAAAGTGTATGTGCAAATGTGTCTGCGGGATAAATCAGTAGAATGGGATTCCAAAATGTGTCCTTATTTTGAAAATAAAGAATGTAATCTACATGATTGATTACACACATGCTGAACTTGGAAGGAAGCTGGAAATGAGCCAAGGTCAGACCTCATCAGACAAACCAACATTAAATTTACTCTTAAAGTATGGAAACAACCAAACACTAATAAAGCCAGATTTGTGGGGTATTTTTCCTTTTGAAAATGTTTTCAAAGGAAACCAAGACTAAAGATAAGGGTGCTGTTTCTCTAAACAGAGCTAAGGGTGTCCATCTGTGAAAGGCAGCTGTGAGTGCCTTCAGTTTTGGCAGGAAAGACAGTTGGCTTTGGGTTCCAGCTCCTGTTGATGTGTGCTGTGTCCCCACCATTTGCTGTTACTGGATCTTCAACTTATATATCACCCTCCAAAGTGCCCTCCACGTTATTCACACCAACAACCTCAACCTGGCCACAGTGTCCTCTCAGCACTGCTGTCGCCATCTGGCGTCCGATCTGTGCCAAGGGCTCCACTTACATAAAACTTCTCAGTCTGATTCCCTAGCAACACCCTGTCCCCAGGGAGGAAGGCTCCATCTGAACAAAGTAAGTTACTTTAAGCACTTCAGCCAAATCATCCCTTTTTTTTTTTTTTTTTTTGTCCATTGCTTGGTACAAACTCTAGTGATCATCTTCATTTAATCATAAATTAGTTGTCTGGATTACACACACACACACCCCCCCCCACACACACACATGGAATTTACTGCACAAGGAAAAAAGCTCTGCATCTAAAGGGCAACTGAAGTGGATACACAGAAGTCAGCATCCGGAGGGCACAAACCTCCCAGCTCATCCACTGATGAGGCTGAAGCTTCCCCGAGGACAGAGCCGGGTCTCATTCATCCCCTGTCTCTTGAGATGAACAGGGCCCAGCTCATCCTAAGTGCTCAAACATGGGCTAGACCCAGCCCCGGTTCAGATCTAGTACCTTTCTTGGGTCAAGGCATGTCCCACTTGTTCTTGGACCCCTGCTCCACATTCTAAGTTTTAGCTAAGAATAAGGCCCGTGGGAGCTGACCCCGTGGCTGAGTGGTTAAGCTCGCACGCTCTGCTTCCGGGACCCCCGTTCGCTGGTTCAGATCCTGGGTGTGGACCTCCACACCACTTGCCAAGCCATGCTGTGGCAGCACCCCATGTAGAAGAACTAGAATGAGCTACAACTAGGATATACAACTATGTACTGGGCTTTGGGAAAGAAAAAAAAGGAGGAAGATTGGCCCTGCACTAACATCTGTTGCCAATCTTCCTTACCAAAAAGCCTAAAAAGAAAACTCGTTACTCAGGAGATTCAGAGACTCCTCTTACCAGTGTCTTTTGCCCCTGGATCGTATCTGCGGTAAGGCAATGATTCTAAAACTTATTGTTCCCTAAGACATACCCAAGAAACCACAATGTGGCCTGTGCCTATCAGAAATAAGAGCTCCTCAAGAGTTGGGCATTTGGCACAATATATAAGTACACCCGCCAGAAGTTTTACTCTACATCTTTCTCTGCCACTGATCCTCAGAGTCATTGTGCTTGGTCTTCCTATTCCTTCATCCCTCAGGTCAATCCATCTGCCGCGCTGGTGCCATTCCGGAATGTTTCTGGATTGGTCAGGCTCTAGGCAGGCTAAGGAGCTGTCATGGAGAACCCACACACGTAGCTTAGAGCAGCAGAAGTGATTTCGATCTCCAGTTACAGTCAGGGTGAGCGATCCCATGCTGGCACCAACTCTGCCATCCTCCGCAGAAGGCTTCCAAGGTGTTCTGATTATTGCCATTTCCCAGCCGCAAGAAGTGAAGGCAGAAGGGGTGACTGTTCCCAAGGGCAAGACCTGCAAGGTGCACACCCCAGTTGGGCTCACGCCCCACAGGCCAGACACAATCATGCCGCCCCCTCCCCGTGCAGGGGGACTGAGGAATGAAGTGCCCAGCTGGGAACCCGTGTGCCAAAACAGGGGGCGGACTAGCTCACTGAAAGGCAGAAGAAAGCCCTGGTGAAAGGCGGCAATCGCTGCTACAACTCCGCCTTGTCCCCCTTCCTCGCAGACTTGAGTGTAGCGGCTGGGACAGTGGGGCCCCCTGGTGGCCACAGGGCTGCTGCAAGTCAGTAGTCATTGGATCCAGTAAGGCTGACTTAAGACTTTCCTACTGAAGGGCTCACAGGCAGGAAAAATTACAGAACAACATTTACTCCATTATCGTTTAATGTTGAACTCGCGGAACAATCCACAAATAGATGAATCCTTCAATAAAGCATGAAACACTGATGGCATGGAACACCAGGCAGCATTTTCTCTGTGTGTGTGTGTGTATATATCTCTCACCATGAAACAATTGCTGGTCGGGGAAAAAAGAAGGTTCTTGAACAATATACATGAATATATATGGAAAATGTCATGACATCCCACTTAGGATAAAAGACGCAATTATACCATGTATTAATACACATAATATACATGACTGCGAATGGGCAGATTTAGTTCCAGAAGAATAAACAACAAACTCAGCATTTCCCACTGGAAATGGCATGCCGGCCCGTAAGTGGAAGAATGAAAGGGGGAGGCGGCGAGGAGAAGGAAGAATAAAGAGCAACTTTTGACTTTTTACTACATTTCTGTATTGAATCTTTCACAATGACTGCATAGTTTCTAATTAAAAAGTAAGTGCCCCCCCCATATTTTCAAACTTAAAAAATTAAGTTGTCTCAGTACATTTGGTTTAATACTTCACATAATAATAAACGTTTGATATGCAAAGAAATAAGAGAGGTCTGGGAGGCTAGCAGGAGCCACAAATCCCACCCGCTGGGTCAGCACGGCCCCGCCCCCCGGGACTGTCGTGGTAATGGAATTCTCCAGCGCCCACCAGTGCCAAACGCCAGGGGTGGTTGAAACCAGGAACAGCAATCTGCGTGAGAGCAAACGCTGAAATCCCGTGGAGTAGGCATCTGCCAGCCCTCAGCCTCCTCCAGCCCCCAAGTCTTGGGAGGGAGGGACCATTCATCCTGAGTCTGCAGGGGAGGAAACGGAGCGCAGAGAGGTTAGTGGCCTGGTGGGCAGGGAGCAGGGTATGAAGCCAGACAGTCCACCCACTGTCTGTGCCCGAAGCCTTAGCTTTGCTCCTACAGCAGAGGTCACCCTGAGAACCGAGGAAAAGAAGTCCCTCCCAAGCTGGCTTCACTTGCCACCCTGACACTTGACACGGACATGACACCGGACTCTGGCCTCACCGCACGCAGAGACCTCAGGTCAGGGAGGCGTGTCCCACCAATTCCCCTGCCATATGGTGAGCCTGTAACAAGGTGCAGGATGAGAAGTCACAACCCTGATGACTCCAGACAGGATTATACTTACTCAAAATGCAGTTGGTCTCTAGAGTAGTCAAATTCACAGAGACAGGAAGTAGAACGTGGTTGCCAGGGGCTCGGGGAGGCGGAAGAGGGCCTTACTGTTGAATGGGGACAGAGATGCATTTGGGATGACCACAAAGTCCTGGAGATCAGCTGCACAACGTGAATGTGCTGAAAACTACTGAACTGCACGCTTAGAAATGGTTACAATGGTAAGTCTTATGTTGTGTATTTTACCCCAAATTAAAAATCCTTAAATCAAATAAAATCTGCAGTCACTGAACTGGGAGATTTCCAGCTGGGGAAAGTGACCTCAGGGGGTGACTTACTCAAAATCTTGCTATAATTGTAATTTAATTAAGCTTTGAGAGCTTCCCCTCAAAAAAGAAGCAGTAGTAAGAGAATTTTATTTTCACATTCATATTTTTCTTCATTTCGAATAAACATTGCCTCTAAAAGCTACTGTACTAGAACGTATTCCTTTATCGTATTTAAATATTCAAAATTCATTCATATAACATTGTAGTACAGTATTCGTTTAACAGAATAGCAAAATATATAAAAATACATGAAAACCTTTAATTCCCCTGAAAGGACTTTACACGTGTCATACATGTGTAGGAGAAGTTCTCCTCACAGTCTTCCTAAATTTTCCTCTCTTTATCTCCACGATCAGGCCTCAGAACAAGCCCAGGTGGGCACACAGAGGCAGCCTTTCCACACCTCCAGCTGACCACTCAGGACAGGTGAGGCCGAGGCACAGGCTTATCAGGACACAGCAGGGAACCTGGGCTAGAAAAAGAATCTCGAGAGAGCACAGGCAAAAGTGACGGCAGCTTATCTTGGTTTCCAGCAGTGGGGTCCGTGCAAGCCCAGCATCATGCACTGTTTTCAAAACTGGGATTCTTGGGACATATGTCGCTGGGTGAGAAGTTCAGAATCTCATCCAAGGGAGGGCCTTCATCCTCTGGAGCAATTTCAGACTCGAACATCTGCTGCAGCAAGGCGTCCACGGTCCTGTACTCTAGGAGGAAGGAGAAAGAGGCACGTGGCACCTGCCCGTGTTGGCGTTGGAGGGGAGCATCCCGCCTGGGCAGAGTTAGGCTTTCCTGAAGGATGGCTGCAAGTCAAAGACAATGCTCTGAGCATGGCAGCCCAGCACCCTTTGAAAGGAAGGAGGGAAAAGTCAGGAAGGAAGCACGCATCTCTCCCAGTGCTGGTCCCAGTGAGCTCCTCAGCCACTGAAGGCTCTGGAGACCAAGGAGAAGGTCCTTCTTGAAGGATGGAGGAGGAAAGCCGCCTTCCAGAGGCTGCATGCTCATACACTGTTCCTGCAATCTATGTTGTAGCCCTCAAAGTTTACTGTATGTGTCCTAGCCGAAGCCCATACTGACATCCAGGCTGGTTTGGGTTAACTTAGCCAACCATTCATTGAGAATTAATAAAGTAATTAAACAAATAGTTGTTGAGGGGCCCCATCTTGTAGGCACATTGTGAGGCCCTGGGGATTCAATGGGAAACAAAAACAACATGGCCCTGCACATGTGGAGCTTTGAATCTGCAAGAAAGACAGATGGTGATCCAATAGTCGCTCAACAATAAATGTGCACCTCATGTGCAACAGGCATGGCAGGTCATGGTGGGAAGCAAGAGAAGCTGAGATATTGAGAGAAACCAGGCATGCGAACCATGGAGGCCATGGCAGGGGCCTTGTCTTTATCCTTAAGCAACGGGAAGCCACTGAAGGTCAGTTTGCACTGTGGAAACATCTCACTGGCGACTGGGTCCAGTGAGACGCATAGAGTGGAGGAAGTTTTGCACTGGGTTAAAACTTACTTTTTGATGCAATTCTGAAGTACAATCCTTTCAAGGCCTTCCTTTTGTTGTCTCCATCGTCCCCACTAAAGCCACTGTCCCTGGTGTCCATGTTGTCAACGAGTTTCCCATCCTGCACTGCTTCCCTGCAAGGAGGAAGAGACAACACGAACAGGGTCAGGTCCCTCAGCCGAGTCCCTCCCGTGTCCTCCCAGCCATGGCCCCGTGTCACTGTCCAGCCACATCCAGGGCTCTCCAGCCAGCAAGGATCCCGAGGACTGGCACTCCAGACCAGGCTGATGACTGGGGCACTCAGAGATCGAACATGACCAGACCTTCCACGTACATTCCACTTCCAAACGCCTGTGAGGCCTCAGGGGAAGCACCCAACTCACTCTTGGATTCCCACTCCGAGCTCTTGAATCTTCTTCTCAATAGCAGTTTCTACTTCACTCTTTTCCAATGAATACGCCACAAAAAACGCCTCCAAGATGAACGCTATGAAAATACTGAGAGAGGAAGGGGTAGAGGGGGTTAGGTCACGTCAGCCGTGGTCTCGGTGACAGGGAATCCTGGCTCCAAGAGCGTTCCAGCCAAACAAAAAGGCAGCAAAACAAATGCAGCCCAGAGGAGAGAGACAACAGACAGAACGCCTCTCGAGGACTGGACACGACTTCCATTCCCGTGGAAAATCATTCTTCCCGACAGCCTACGCCAACAGTGGACACGAAGAAGGAAATACAGTCGGAGGGGAAGCTTAGACCACATAATTGTTGTAGACAATTCTCCATGCACATCTCAGGTTTCTGCACAGTCTGGGTCCTCTGAGAAAGGCAATGAGAGCGAACCGAGGACGGTCCCCCAGGGCTGGCAGAGCAGCCACAGGCTTCCGAGAGGAGAGGGGCCGAGGAAGCCCTGCAGCCTGTCACGTTGCTGCCTCAACCTCTCCTAGCACTCCGGCCACCTCCAGAAGAACCACTTGGGGTGGCGTTTCTCTCTTGTTCCCTACATGTTCCCTTCGGGCTGTGTGGGACAAGCAGGCCTGATCAGAGCCACCTTCAGGAGCTCCTCCCCCTCCATCCCTCTCTGGGGACATTCTTGAGGCATTCTTCATACAGTCAGCAGCACGGTAGGGTGGCCAAAGCCACCCTGATGTGACAGGGAAGGCACTGGTACAGATGTCACCCCAAGAATGGTGCGCCCAGGCTGCAAGAGCAGTATGACATCCAGAAAATGTCTCCGGCAGAGAACCCCAGGGGTCAAAGGGACTCAAATTCAGGTCCCATGAGGACCCAGGGAGCTAGAATCAGAGATTCTTAAGCTGGAAGGAGAGGCTTTTTGAGTGGTGAGGTGTCAAAGCAGCTTTCAAATAGTGACCGAGTTCTCCCCTGGACGCAGGTCAGGCCGGAACCAGAACCAGTGAGAATTTCCCAGCGGCGCATTTCCCTTCTGCCCGTAAGGTCAGGGAAGCACCAGAGCTGGACAACAAGGGCACTGACTCGCAGGTTCGAACGAGTCCCAGCCTTTGGGAGGATTTAAGCAGAGGGTGGACAGCAGTGCACAGGGATGCTCTGAAGGTGACTCATGCCAGTGGGGAAGGGTAGGGAGACTGGCCAGGGCCCCAGAGTCCTTCTGGCGCTAATGACGTCATAGTGAGGCTATGAGATGTGTATTACACACAGATGTGCACAGCGCTGGCAGACACTGTGACGAACACAAATGTGAACGACAGTAAGAGCCCTCCCTTCCAGGGCCTTAGCATCCAGCAGGGAGACGCAATCCACCCACATGGGATGGAACAAGGGAGAAGGAAGGTGCAAGTGGTTACACATCTGAGAGAGGAGATCCGGACCTGCCAATGCGGCAAGACTGAACTCACTTGACAATGAGGATGACGACCACGATGTGGAACCCGACGAAGTACAACTTTGCCGCCTGGTGAGTCACGAGGGCAAAGCCGCCTGCAAGGAGTACGAAGCTAAGGAATGAAACCTTCAAGAAACTGGGTGGGTGCCCTGAGCTCAGGGACGCCAAGACGTAATCCTCTCCCGGCAGTTACTCTCGGCATCCCACCGCCCACCCCAGAGAGCAGGCAGCCCCTCCGTGAGTCAGACGCCTCCCCAGAAAGGATATCGTGCCACTGGTTAACCACCGTGAGCTCCATCAGCAAGATGAAGGCGGAGGCGAGGTCGTTGAAGTTGTTCTTACAGTACCTGTTCCGGGCAAAGGCCGAGTCCTTCAAGGCTGGGTTCCCACACACCAGGGCATCGGGAGCGGTGAAATTCGGGTCGAAGAACTGGACTTTGCTGTGGAAGGCTTCCATCCCGATGATAGCAAACACATAGTAGACCACCTAGGATGGCACTGGTCATCAGTGGGCACTTGGAGCTGCAGTCAAGGGGCAAGGAGCACGCAGGAGAGGGGGGCACTGGACACACTGGTCGGCCCTGTGCCAAGGGCCCAGGAGAAAGGGCAGCTACTCTTACTCCAAGAAGGATGGCTGCCCTCCCCAACCAAGAGTTCCACAGCGTCAGGAAAAGGGTCGGGAGGGGTTGGCCGATTGGCCAGTCTGCTGGAGAAGCCTGAGCTGTCCGGGGAGGGATGGAGGCCACGGCCAGCGGGACCACACCTTGACCTCTCCTGGGCTCCACGGACAAAGGCAAAAACGAAGCTGCTCACAAGTTAGTGTGTTAAATACTCAATAAATAATAGTTAGTCCTCTAGGGACAAAAAATAATCAAATTGGATCCTTACTTTGTTTTTTATATTAAAATAAATTCCAAAGGCACCAAAGAGTTAAATGTAAAAAATAAACCATAAAAGAACTAGAAAAAAAATGAGTAGAAAAAGGCCTTCCTAAGCATGACATAAAACCTAGACACTATAAAATAAAATAAAATATTGACAAATATGACTGTATAATTAATTTAAACTTTCATACAGGCAGAAAAATACAGCAAAAGGCCTTCATGTATAACAAAACAAGTGACAGATAAGGAAAAGCAATTACTCTGCATGCAACTTACCAAGGACCTATTTCTTTAATAGACAAAACATTCCTGAGAGTCATATAAAAATAAAACGAATGGAAGGATGGACCGCAAATATGAACAGGCTGTTCATGGAAAAATAAGCACAAGTAATCAAAACACACAGAAAAGACACTCAGTCTCGTGAATATCTAAGGAAATCCATGTCAAAACAACACAGTGCCATTTTCTCACTCATCAGATTGGAAAATACGGAAATGTTTAATAAACCCCAGATGTGAGGGGTGAAGAGGAACAGAGGCTGTCACACAGTGTCGTTGGAATATATGGGGAGCACATCTTTGGAAGGCAACTTGCCGCCATCGATCCAAATTTTGAACACATTTACCTTTGGACCCGGCAGTTCCACTTCTAGGAACACACCCCATAGATACACTCACAGAAGCATACAAAGATACATATGCAAGAATGGTCGTCACCACATCATTTGTGACGCGAAAAGGTGGAAGCACCCAGTGGTCCGTCAGTAGAGGGGCTGGGCAGACGCGTCCTGGAGTCTTCCCTCGGTAGGACACTTTATCGTAGCAGAGCTTACATGGATGCACGTGTCCTCCAGGACACAGAACAAAGATATTAGATAGAAGAAAGTTGTGCAGCATTTTGTGCGGATTATCCCATTTGACACCACAATAAAATGGATATGTACACACCTGGATATAATGTACTTGTTGTATGCATAGCAATATTCAGGAAGAGTAACAAGAAAGTCTTAACAATATTTGCCTCTGGGAAACAGGCATGTGGGGGACGGGAACGGGTGACCTGCAATCTACCTTTCATTCTTCAGTACTAATTGAATTTTTTACCGTTCTAACAGAAAAGATAAATAAGATCCCTAAAGCCGAGTGTTCACCAAGATTCGAGCTCCCTCATCTATAGTGCGGAATCACTCCTGAGCAGGAGGCCCCAGCGCCTTGCAGCCTCGTGTGGCTACATGCATACCATTGGGGACCTCAAGGAGCTGGCGGGCTTTCTCTGTGAGCAGAACAAAGAAGGATCTGAACCCCGGGGGGCAGAGCCTCGAGCTGGAAGGAGCCTACATTCCCCAGAACCTTCTGCTAGCTAGAAATGCCCACCTGGACCGTGGGTGAGAAAGAAGCTATGACGGTGTTAACCCACTGAAGTTTTGGTGTTGGTTACAGCAGACAGTGTACCTTCACGGATACACACCCGATGTTTCCACACGCTTGACATTTCTACAAATGGCTACTAGAAACCAATGCATCTCCTTCACTTACCTCCTTCTCTTTCCCTCACGTAAAATAAGGCTTCCTGAGAGTTGCCAGGAATGAACCTCTTACTGTTAATTTCAGGTTAAACAGTAATGAGAGCAGCCACTCACCAAGACAAGTCCGCCAAACGTCAGCATCGCTGGGCCGATGTTAATTAAGGTGGTCACAATAACCCGGAATCTAGGATGGAACAGTTTCCGACACTAGGCAAAGGGAAGACGTGAAGCTGACACCACACGAGCCTGTTTCCTTTAAGACCCTTCCCTCGGCCTGGCTCTGCTTTCAATGCTCTCAGCAATCTGCCTGTACAGTTTGTGGGAATCAGTCCACCTACCCAGCTGAGGCAGGAGGAGTTGTCCCAGAGCAAAGCAAGGCAGGTTTGCAAACACAAGCAAGGTGCTCCCAGAGAACCTCCCTGGTAGACACAGTGGGGCGGTGAGGCCAGAAAGCCATGTAGCCTCATCTGCTTAGCCCGCCCAGCCCCCACTTTTTCCTCCCCCAGATCCAGCCTGTTTGAAGGCTGCCCTGGAGGCTGAGGGTGACAACGGAACACTTTCTGGGGGCATAGCTCAGTCCCAGCCTACGGAAAACAGGGTGGGGTTTATCTGAGCTTTGGGGTCAGACTCCCGAGTTTGTGTGCTGGTTCTGCCGCTTTCTAGCTGTGCAACATTGGAAGAGTCACTTAACCTCTCTGAGCTTCACCATCATCACCTGTGAACTAGGGATAATAAAAGCCGCTCTATCAAGGGTTGTAGAGGATTTAACAAGGCAGCGGTTAGCACTCTCAGTAAGTGTTAGCTGCCAGTATGACCACCGTATTCAGTCACCAGGCCCCACGTATAGTTAAGGGGCCAGGTCACAGGGATGAAAACGAGGACAGAATTCCTGCCCTCAGGGAGCTGCCACACAAGGCTCTTCACCATCTTCACGGCCTTCCCTCCCTCCCCTACTGCCCCCAGAGAACCCAGGTCCTCTAGACGAGCTACGAGCTACGTTCTGGGTTCACAGTGGGGCGTGTTTCTAGTTCGCAGGCAGGCTGGTTTCCACCAGGCCCCAGTGTCGCTCCATCTTTACCTCTCAATGCTGACAATGACCCTTAAGAGCCGGAGAATTCGCAATATCAAGACGATATCCAGTATCTGCTGACTGCTGTATTTTCTTGCTGCAAAAAGAACACACTCAGCTAACATTCCACTTTCTGAGCGCCTCTGGCTTGTCCCCTTTATTCCACGAGGCCGGGGACCCTGTGGGTCCTGGGGAAGGATGCAGCTTCACGTCAGGAACAGAACGATGGCTCTGAGCAATGAAGGAGCGAGTGCTGCCTCGAGTCGCTAACTCCCCCAGCACATCAAAGCCGGGCGAGTGTGGACCTGAGCGTGTCCTCCCGCCCCTGGAGCAAGGCATCGTGAGTGTGCATGGAGGTGTAGACTAGATAATCCACCTGCTGTCTATAGGAAGGGGTGTGCGTGGTTGGGTGGTGTATGCGGTGGAGCTGGAGGAGGGTAAAAGAGAAAAGGGTGCTGGGCAGGGGACGACGCAGACTTCCTGCTGTGGCTGGACCCCGTGGGGGCCAAGACGGGCAGAGGGCCAAAGGTGTGGAGGTTAGCCCTGAGGCTGAGGGCGGTTTGGGAGAGGGGTGACCAGGTGAGTAGTCGGTGTGACGGACGCCTACAAATGAAATCTCTAGTAGACAGCTGAACACAAGCGAAGCACCATCCCTCTCCAGAGCACGTAACACTTTTACTAATTCTCTGGTGCCCCCATTGCCTCACCCCAAACACCTTAATGGTGCACAGTGGACGTTGAGCAAAGACTACTGACTGGATACACGACCCCGGGAGGTGGAGATGCTGAGAGCCGGCAACACTGACCTGACTGAATGGTGGTGTTGGCCACTGTGGCCACCAGGGCTGCGATGATGATCAGCACATCAAACCTAACAACACAGAGGCAAAGTGGGTCAAGACTCAAGGGAAACGCCTGTCACGCTCCGGACACAAAAAACTGTGTCCAGTATCTGATGCAAAGCAATGATCCAGCCATAAAACTGACTTCCATAATTTTTAGGGCAGTGGATATGAAGCAAGAAACACTACGTTTGAACAATCCAATGATACCTCAGTGACTGACCCAACAAAGCATCCAGTGGAATTTGCAGGAATCAGCTCGTTCATGTCACTCTGTCTTCCAAAGTAACTCTATACTTGTAAGAATACCTTGACATATTTTCAGAATACACCATCTTTCCTGGTATTAATCTTTTTTGGTATTAATTTTACTAAAAGCATTGTCACTTTGTAATTAAAGAGGAAATTCATCACACTGTTACTTTTCTTCCTGATAATGGTGCAAAAGGACAAACATTGGACAACACTCACCAGTCCCCTTTTGGCCACACACACATCCTAGCGAGTCCCCTGGCACTGAGAGCAGTGATCACAGAGATGCAACCCTGCCAAGCTGTGCACTACCTAAATCAGGCCTGTGCCTTGTATCTTTGTGTCCCACAAGGCCTGGCACACAGTGGCACTCAAGATGGATGGGCTGGTTTGCAGCATGAGAGCGACATTTGAGACTAGGGGGTACGTAGCATGGAGTAGAAAAGGCCACAGGGAGATACATCCAGCCCAGAAAAGGCTTGCTAACAGTCCTCATTGTCCAGCCACGCAGGCCAACGGTTCCGATAACAAGACCAGGGAGCGACTGGGGCAGCTTTGGAAGGAATTGCCTCATTGGGTACCATGTTCTAAGATCTCTTTCAAATCCGAGATGCCGTGATCTGCGATTCTAATTTTAGCGAGTCCGTTCAAACCGACACCATGAATAACAGCCTTCACTGGACTAGATGTTCCCCGCCCCCGAGATTTCATTACAAGAGGCCTGAAAACAAGGCAGATGGAGCTTGGAAAATTACAATCATATTAGCCACATTGTGACAGGAAGCCCCCTTCTCTCTGCCCATGGCCTCATCCCCCCTCCCCAGAACATGAATGCTTACCAGTTCCAGAACTGCCTCCTTCCGAAGTAGGATCTGGGCTCATACGTGTACAGTTTCAGGAGAATCTCAATGATATAGAGAGAAAGGAAAAGCCATTCTGCATAGGAGATGAAGGGGTTTCTCTCATCCAGGGCAATGAATATGGCATTGACTAGAATGATGACATCATAAACCCAGACAAAAACCCTGGCATCAGGGAAAAAAGAAGAAATCCTGTCGTCATGCGTTTCGGTGAAAGGATCATGTTCAGAGCTCTACCAGGCCTGCTTCATTGCCCAGCAAGGGGACCGAATATGAGACCCCCCCAACCCCCACCCCAAACACACACACACACACACACAGTCCTCATCTAAGGTAAGGTTCCAGCACGACCAGGCCCTAAAATTCACCTGCTTCCCACTGATATTGGCGCAGCCCTTCCCGCCAAGGAGAAAATGAAGACATTTCAAAGAAATTGAAGAGGGGGCGGATAGAGGCGTGGTTTTCCCAGGTTCCCCTCTGGGGGCATATTACCTGGATCAGATGAAAGCTTCGGCAGAATCGAAGGTTAAGGAGAGGTTTAGGGTGTAATGAGATCATTACACCTCTACTCCTTAGGAAATTAACATCCTTAACCAAGAAGGCTTCTGAAAACCTCTTTACCCCTAATGCACACAAGCCTTCCAGGGGGCTGGCATGTCCATCTTCCTCACCAAGTTTGGGATAAAAATGCGTGAAAATGTATGGTAGCTGGGCTCTGACTCAACTTTTCAATTACAGAGCAGGGTGCCCTGCTCAGGCACCCGTCCCTGTGCTGCAGGGAATCCTGGGTAAACCCTGGGCGTGGCCAGGGGAAGACAGAGGAGGCGCTCCTCCTTCACGGTTCTCCTCGAACGAAGCACAGACTCTAGGGTCCAGCCCTGGAAGTCACATATGGACACGCAAACATCCACCACATGACACTCACCAGCAGTTCAATGTTGGGATTAAGAAAGGAGCCTCTGCATAAAGAACTGATAAATATAAAGTACGGGCAGCTAGAAAGGACATTCACCTACATCACAGGCCGAGCTACTGTCAAGGACTTCTGAACCATTCACTTTTATGAAACATCAAGTTCAAAGAAAGCAAGAGGATGAGCCTCTGATGATTGGGTATTCCAGGAGATCCATATTAAAAATAAGATCTCCATGACCTACAACTAGTATATACAACTACATTTTGGGGGTTTTGGGGAGAAGAAGGAGAAAAAAACAGATTGGCAACAGATGTTAGCTCAGGTGCCAATCTTTAAAAAGAAAAAAAAAAAGATCTCCAACCAGGATAAATGACTCTTTCTGGAGTCCATCGCCTTGAGAATAAAAGGAGTAATTGGTCTTCTTAACAATCATTCCAGTGACTCTAACTTGTGAGTTCTGACATATACTTCACAGAGCCCAAGTGCCATATTTGATATCAACTTCCTAATGACTCCGATGGGACTGGAACCTTCCGAATTCAGAGACTGATCAGCTTCTGGCTCAGCACATCTGTTCCGTGGCCCTTGAGCATCTTAGGAAACAGTGCAGAAGGAAGCATACCTAGAAGCCTGTCCCTTTGGCTAAGGCCAAACACCTCATGTACAGAATCCTCTCCCTGCCTCCCTGGGAACCCAAAGCACCAAGCAGAGGGATGATTTACAGCTTCACTGATGAAACATCTTCAGTCCAGACAGCATGAACAGATCCCTCAATTTTTAAAGCAACTTCAGAGAAAACTGGCCCCATCTCACTTGCCTGTGCCGAACCATCCTCTGGACCAAGAGGCTTGCAGACGACTGGTATACCCGAGGCATCCAAGCTTCCAATGGGTGTCTCTTGATGTTGATGGTGACTACCTGGATGTTGAGGAGGTCGGCCAAGCGTAGAAAGTTCATTTTGTCTGCAATGAAAAAACGACCCCAAAACACATGGCCACTGGTGAAACTAAGGTCCAAAGGATGAAGGCAAGTCCGCACAGACTCTTGGATCTGCATTTCATGGTGAAGATCGGAAGCCTCAAAGGATGGAGGCCCAAGGCCAAAGAGCCAGAGAGCGGCAAAGCTTCCCACCTGTCCTCACTCAGACCCTCAGCCAACCCAAGGCCCCCAACCCAAGGCAGCCAACCTAAGTCAGCCAACCCAAGGCAGCCAAGCTAAGTGCGTGATTTTGCTAGTTCACAACTGCCACTATCTCATTCCCAACCTTCTACGCTGCTGTCCTCCTCATCGGGCCATCACTGCTTTCAGTATCTGCCTGACCTACTTTTCCCACTTCCCCTTCCTCTCCACAAGGTAGGTGTAATCCATACCCTTCCCCTTGAGCCCCTACCCCCTCTTCTGCCCACCCTCCCCCTCTGCCTCTTCACAAGACTCACTCAAACCCACAGCTTCCACAAGTTGGCCCAGCTCCCCAGGCCAAATACAGTGGAGGCTTTCTTGACCAGCTTGGACCCACTCAACTGCTAAGTCAGTGCTCTCCAGACCCACTGAATGCCCAGGGCCAGCAGGCTATTCTCCATCACCTCACACACCTCTCCCCAACCAGGCTGGTTGGGAGCTGACCACGAGTCAACTGGTCACAAAAAATATCACACCAATGGATGAAATCAGAAGATGCAAAGTGTCGCTGCTTCTTTGAAAACTAAGTTGGGTGCTTTCGAAAACCTAAAGAAAGTTGCTGCAATAAATGGCAGGTGCACATCAGGTACACTTGAGACAGCTGTCAAAGACTGGGGCAGGGAGTTAAGTCCTAGAAGCTTCCCAGTTAGTGGGCCTGGCAGATGTCCAGGTCTCCACTGCAGTTTTCAGAAGTAAATGACAAAGAACCACGGTTCTACAGGTGCCACCACAGTGTGTTTTATGCAAGAAAGACGTTGTGGAACTGCCATCCACTGACACCCAGGCAGAGAAGAGGCCTCAGCCCTGTCAGAAGTGTGGCCTCATCTGAGTGAGGAGCCTGAACCAGACAGAGCCTTAGTGATATTAAACATCCATGTTGCTATTTTCCCTAAGAGTTGTATGGTTCTAGAGCATGAAAGAACATGAGTCCATCAAGTTGTATGAAAAAGACACTTAGCTATCTTAGGATACCTAAGTTCCTGGGCTTTGGAGTTAGAAGGAAAATACACAGACATGGCTCAATAGCTAAAGACATGTAAAACCACTCAGGTGGAAGTGCAGCCACGGAGAATTAGGTGACATGATAACTTGGACCCAGGGACCCGGGTTACGCAAGCCCCACCATTGGAGGTTAGGGAGACACTGATGTGACAACCATAAATAGTGTTCAGAGTGATCTACTGACAGGAATCCAGCCAAAACCTCGGTCATTAAATAACCTCGGCCAACAGAGAACCCACCAGTCTCACTGGGTTGAGATGTCAATCTCTTACTTCAGAAGAGTCGACAGAACAAGAAAGGACAAAGAGAATCAAAACCATAGGAATTTTGTGTTAAGAAGGGATTTGTACCCATCTGATATTTTATGTTGGAGATCAGAGTCCACCACCTTTTTCTGTAAAGGGCCAGAGAATAAGCACATTAGGTTTTCTAGGCCACATGGTCTCCACTTCAACTACCCACTGCAGCTGTTACAGCATGAAAGCAGCCATAACCGACACATAAATGAAGGAAGACAGCTGTGTTCCAGGCAAACTTCATTTACGAAAACAGGCCGTGGGCCCCATTTAGCCTGTGGACCAGTCTCCCAACCCTCTTTGTAGATACTTTACTTGTTCCATATTCTCTTTGTGATTAATTCTATTCAGCCCCTTTCTTTCCATATTTGTAAGTTTTATGTTTCTCAGTTTTACGGTAGATTTCAGTTTTAACACTTTTGGCGCTAACAGAATGCCAGTGTTCAGCCTTGGAAACCCCAAATGCTGATAACTGCTGATCAAGGGGAAAAGTGCCGATGTTCACAGAAGTATTGCCATCTCTTGCCTGTGCAGCGTGGAGACCATTGGGAAACATGTAATTCTGTTTGACTTCCTGTTATTAAAACTGTCTTTGAAAGTGTCAGCTGAACAAAGGAGTCTTGTGGACACCCAGGCATCAGAAATCACTGCTGTGTAGAAAGTAAGAGAACAAGAGTCATGCATTGCTTAAGGAGGGGGATACGTTCTGAGAAATGTGCTGTTAGGCGATTTCATCATTGTGTGAACATCATAGAGTGCACTTACACAACCCTAGATGGTATGGCCTACTACACGGCTAGGCTCTATGGTACTGATGCTATGGGACCGCCATCGTGCATGTGGTTCATCGTTGACTGAAACATCGTTATGCGGTGGCCGACTGTACACACGTGTGAGTTTTGTCAGTGTTGTCATCTTGCGGCTTTGGAGCCTTAGGCCTGCTGGACTCACATCTGTGTGAGTGGGAAACTCTGCAGCCGATGAACGAGAACCACGGCAGCTCTGTCTTCCCAGAGCCAATGCATAAGTTTGAGATTTTGATAAACTGAGAAGATTAACAACACTCGCGTTTCGCAGGTTAGTTGTGTGGCAGATGGGGGAAGGTCAACTTGGCACAGAAGAGAGCTCTAGAGAAGGGCAACAACCTATGGGCAGAACCAGCAAAACAGGAGTTGAGGGCTCAACTGGGGCCCCTCAAAATTCACATGTTGAAGTCCCAACCCCCAGGACCTCCGAGTGTGACTGTATTTGGAGACGGGGCCTCTAAAGAAGAGATGAAGTTGCAGTGAGGCCATGAGGGCGAGCTCCAATCCAATGTGCCTGGTGTCTTTATAAGAGGAGGAGGTGAGGGCACAGCCACATACAGAGGGAAGACGCGGTGACGACACAGGAGAAGACAAGCATCTACAAGCCAAGGAGAGAGGCCGACCCTGCCAACACCTTGATCCCAGACTTCTAGCCTCCAGAACGGAGGGAGAATACACTTCTGCTGTTGAAGACCCTAGTGTGTGGTACCCTGCCGTGGCAGCCCTGGAGCACTAATATAACAGGGAACAATTTCTCAAGGAATTGTTAATTTAATCATTTTAAGGTGAATACTATCCATTCCTTACATTCCGAGTAGTGACTTGCAGATTCTCCCCAAAGTAAGAAATCAAGGAAAAATTCTTTACGCTTCAAATGTGCTGCCCCTCAAAAAATAAACCAGACAACCAAAAACACTCACCAGGGTGAAGAAAATAAGGAAGGTCAAGCTCAATGATCACCATTTTTTCTTTAAAAAAAATCTGCAACAAACTCTTAGCTTGCACAAATGTATTAAAAATGCTAAACAAATTAAGTATCATGTGAACTAGGTCTTAGAATGATTTTCTCCAGATAAAACCTTGAATTAACAAGTTGGTTTATAAACTTGGCCCCCACAAGTATAAAATATGTAAAACAACAAAATACTAATTTAAATAGTATTTCTATAATTTCTTAAAATCAAATGGAAACCAGGGAATTCTAACTTTGGTTAATGTTCTTAGTGTCTCTACCGAGTTAAAAAAAATAAAGAAAAGATATGCAAATTAACAGGCCAGCAATTATTAGTTGCAAAAAGGCTATTAGGGGAAAAAACAAGCTTTCATTATTTTTTTCAGTAAAAACATACATTTTAAAGATTTGGTTACAAATTTACAATCTGAAGACTTTTGACAAAAAAATTAAAATGTGATAAAATGACTTGATAAATCAAATTAAAATAATTTAAAATTTTAATCCGAATTTATTTAGGAAAAGTAATAAATTGTTTTGTGATTTAAGGTTTAAAACGTGGCTTCGTGTCTTTTTCCTGACTTTATCCAGTGTAAATACAAGTGCAAATACGGCATGTTAGTGCATGCAAATTTTTTTTTCTCCAAAGAGGCTAAAATGGCTGGAACTCCTCATATTCCTCCCCCTTATCTGACGGGTCATTCGGCATCATGATCTCAGCGAACATTTAGGTGTCCACAAACTAAACATGGATTAGAACCATGTGACATGATTTAAACTGTGCTGTGATTTAAAAACTTGTGTATTTATCAATTGGCTTTTGTAAATCCCAAATGATATTGTAAATTACAAGGCCTTACAGACTTACTCCCTTAAATTATGTGGATACAGCGTTTAGAGTTTTATACTTCTCTCACAAGTCCTTAGTGCCAAGAGTGAGTCAACTACCTATGGTTCCTCAAATGTATTTTCTCGAAGTACTAATTGAGATCGGGGCACTGCACTAATGAATATTGAGATAAATAGTCAATAATCTGTGTTTACCTAAAGACTTGCCAAGAAATTAAAATGCTATGCCCCATGTATAAATATTTTTGTCCTTCATGATACCAAAATTAAAATATTATATAACAATTGTCTTATATCACACTATAAAATCAATTATGTTAAGAAGTAGAGTTTTCAAGCTATAAACCATATTGCCATTGCAGCATACCGATTGGCATGACTATACTCGTATGTGTCTATAACGAAGTACACTAACGTTAATAGAGAAAAGCTCAGAACAGGCCCATCGTGGGCTTCACGGGAGGGACGGAAGGTTGGTCTTTGGCATCTCTGCATTCTGCCCAGGGAGCTGCAATTGCAGCCTCACCCAAGCAGATGCCCACATTTCTCACAAGTGTGCAACACTTACACCGATTTTCATTCTCTCTTGGATGATCGTGGACCACTGTAAAGACATGAGGTCTCCCCCCACTGCAGGAAGTAAAATGTCGACCACTCCACGCTTCCTCTGAGCTGTAGCCATTCTGACCAGCATGACCACGTTCTATGGCACAGCCAGGGCTTCAGCCAGGCTGCAGTCTAGGCTCCCTTTGTCACTGACCAGCCTCCTCTGGTAACTCGTGCAGATGTCACCCTGTCCAGGGCCGCAGCCCACACTCAGAGAAGAACCTGTGCAGACAGGCAGGCGTCTTTTGTACCCAGATCTTTGTGGGCACTCTCCAGAGGTACCACGGAATGGTACACCCGAATGGTACACATGGGGCCAGAAGAACTCAGCTGCGTTCGGTGTGCTTCATAATTATCCTACACAGCTGACCAACGTGGTGAGAGCCGCCCTGTTTGTCAGCCCAGAACAGGGGAGAGGCTGTCGAGACGACGAAAGCAGTGCATCCTCCCACTTGGGAAACAAGCGTCGACAGTTAGACTGACCTTACAAACGGAGAAACGCTGTTCATGTGAGTATGTCCTGGTGACCAAGTGCATCTTCTCTGGAGGACCAGGAGACCCGTGTGAAGGCCTCCCTCACCACGCCTCACAGACCAGGACTCCTAAGAGCCCCCATCCCTGGGTCTGCAAAACCTCACCTTTCAATAGCCATCCAGGAATTCACTTTACAGAAGGACTTGCAAAGAAAGTTCATAAAGCCCTAAAGCTTCATCAGTATCTTCGGAGTCTCAACCACCCGGAAGCAGCAGAGGTGCGAGCTGACTCATCAAAGGGGCATTCTCAAAGACAGAGGGCCTGAAGTTGGGCCAGTTCTTGGAGTGGGAGATCCGGGGGCCTGGCCCCCCGGCCCCCTCTAAGTACTAGCGCAGGGCTCCTCAAAGGGCAGTTCCCGGGCCACTGTGGCCTGTCCTGTGTTCCCCTCCCTCCATGAGATAAGTCTGAAAATTTAGAAACTTGCAGGACAATTGACAGGATCATTTCATGTCCACTGACTCTCATAATGAAAAATCGGGACCTGGAGTTTATGCATCTTATTTCCTTTTTCTGCTTATTCACTGTTGCTGTATTTTACCAAAGTATCGGTCCATAACAGGCTGGGTACTAAATGGCTTCACTGTCACAGCTGGTGAAGCACCGCGCTCAAGGGCTACCTGCCAGCCGCCAGGCGCCCTGCCCCCACCATGAGCAGAGCCCTCCCCCTGACATGCTGGCTGGCACAGCGACTCCCTGCGCATCCGCCGCAGGGCACCAAAGCAACCTGTCCAGGGCCTGAGAAGCCTGGCTCCCGACCAGACACTGGGAGCCATGACATCAAGCCGGTGGCTGAAGGGATGCGCTCAGGGCCCCCTAGAGGGCACCTGTCAAATCCTGCTGACTTAGGCGGGCAAAGCCTTCGCCCACCTGGATCCAAAACTCTCCTTGGAAGACGTGGGTACCACCCACTCACAGGGTCTTGCTATACATTTCTCTTTTCCCCCTGGACACTGGATTGACTTCTCACGTAAGTTCCGGAGGATGAATCACTGTCATTCCTTTCTTCTCACATGTGCATGGAGTCCTAACAAAACCTCTGGCTCTGCTGGATGAGTTTGAGAGTCTTTGCCTCATGTAAGTTTACATCCTATCACACCTACCATTCCACTTTGGTGTGTCTCCATCTAGACTTTTCTTGCAACTGGTAAAATGAGGGTGTTTGGGACATATTTCAGTCACCTCACATCTTTCTACATTGCTACCTCATCTTCACAGTCATTTTCTTTCTTTTTCTTTTTCTTTCTTTCTTTTTTTTTTTTTTTGGTGAGGAAGATTGGGCCTGAGCTAACACCTATTGCCAATCTTCCTCTTTTTGCTTGAGGACGATTGGCCCTGAGCTAACATCTGTTACCAATCTGCCTCTTTTTGCTTGAGGAAGATTGTCCCTGAACTAGCACCTGTGCCAATCTTCCTCTATTTTGTATGTGGGATGCCACCACAGTATGGCTTGATGAGTGGTATGTAGGTCCATACCCAGGATCTGAGCTCACAAAACCCAGGCCGCTGAAGCAGTGGATGTGAACTTAACCACTACACCACCAGACCAGCCCCTACAGTCATTTTTAATGTCACCAAAATTTCCCATTAAGTGACTATCAGAATCTGGGGCAGTTTAACACAATGATAGAAAGCACGGGCCCTGGAGTCAGATGGCTTGTACCAATACTTTGCAGCTGAGAGGCCTTCACAAACTACTCAACCTCTCTGAGTCTCAGTTTCCATAGTGACAAATGTGGCTAACAAATCCCCCCCCACTTCAGTGAGTCTGGGGAAGGACCACATAGACACAGTGCATGGAAAGCAATCACAGCAAGGCCTCACACGTGAAGAGCCTGCCACACGTATTAAGCGTTGTTAATAACAACTATCAACCACTAACACATACATTTTAAGTTACTTTTAACTTTTTACTTTCAAATGCTGAATGCAATTTAGATGTTTATTTATATAGCTCTTTTCCATACTTTAGATGACCTCCATGAAACAAAATCCCAGAGGCCAGCCCTGTGGCACAGTGGTTAAGTTTGGCACACTCCACTTTGGTGGCCCGGGTTCATGGGTTTGGATCCTGGGTGCAAACCTACACCACTCATCAGCCACACTGTGGCAGTGACCCATATATAAAGTGGAGGATGACTGGCACAGATATTAGCTCAGGGCCAATCTTCCTCAAGCAAAAAAAGAGGAAGATTGGCAACAGATGTTAGCTCAACAGAATCCCGGAGTGAATGACCGTGTTACAAGGTAAGGGCTTTTGGATGGCTCATTACACGCTGACAAACACACACGGGGACAGCCCTGTGAGAGCACAGCGTGAGGACCCTAATTCCACTGTATTCTGGCCAGCAGGGAGTGTCCATATGCATTTTTATTTGCAAATTAAAAAAAATAAAGAACAATAGTGCCGCTTCACCCATCCCTTTAGAAGACCCCTGCTACTGAACACCCAGGGAAGAACAGTCGAGGCCAAGGCTTCTTACCCACGTGCCCCTTCTGTCCCTCGTCGGAGACCCTCAAGAGGAGCTCCAGGTGGGAACTGCTGATGTCCGGCGCCACGACCTTGGCCAGCCGCCTCCACTGGGCCTCCTTCACCACAAACTCTGTGCCCACCTGGACTTTCAGAAGGTTGAAAGCCTCTATCATTTTGTGACGTTTCAGGTACGCCAGTTTGCGAATCTCATTCTTTAAAAAACAGAATTGTGTTTTTTAAGAGAAAGATTCAAGAAACCCTCATTTCTTGACTACACATTTCAAGGTCATCAGAGAGCCCAAGAGAAGGCACTGATGATTCCAGTACCAAGCAAGGTATAACCCCTCCCGGCTCCAGGTACGCGTAGCTAACCCGTCTGCATAAAAGAAGGCATCTTACCAAGAGCCCGTGAGGGGTAATCTGTGTGGTGAGCAACACAGCAGCAGGAGGCAGACAGGTGCCAACCCCACTCTGCCCAGGAGGAGAGAAGATTCCAGAAAGGAAGGAAATCAGGTATGCTCCTGAGAGAGAGGGAGACCAGGAGAAGGAGAGGAGAGGTCCACCATTAAGTCAACCAAGAAAGAGAAGAGGACGAGGAGGAGTGTTGGGGAAGTGAAACTTGGCTGGAAAAGGTCCGGAAAGAGGTCTGGGGCGGAAAGGACAGCTGGGGCCTGCCAGGAGCTGCCATCTGGCCTGACCACAGGGAACCTTCCAGAAGAGGGGAGCCCTCTCAGGTTATAATCTGCCACCCAGTGCCCACCTCTACTGCTCCCTGTAAGCCTGTTACCCGATATCATCGCCACCATGGCTAGACTATAAATTCTCAAAGGGCGTGGGCTGTGTCTTAATCATCTTTGACGCCTCAGAACTCTGTATGGCGCTGGGCACATAAGGCATGTGTCAGATGTGTTTGCTGACTGATCCATGTTCCAGAAGATTAATTTCTGAGGAGTGTTACTAAAAGAAACACTTCCTTGGGGGAGGAGAGGCATGACAACAGTTCTGTCCTGCAGTGAAGGAGAAGAGAGGCACAGCAGTCTCTCTGAGACAGCCTCTTTCTGCCCAGAGGGAGCAGGTCAGAAGGAGGAGGGTCTCTGGGAGGCCTGGCCTTGGGGTCAGGGCAGCTGAGGTGCCCGTGGTGCATAGACTCCTCAGGACCTGGACAGGCCAGCCACCTTCAAAGGCCAGTTTGGCCAAATCTCACACTCAGCCCCGCCACCCGCTTCTCCTCAGCAGCAAACATTTAAGTTCTCTACTTTCTACTTGCCCCCTGGTGGGCAATGAAAAATTCAAAACAGAACCAAGAGGATCAAAAAACAAAAGGCCATGTCTTCCCTTAAAGGAAAATGATCCTTTGATGAAAGGCTTCTCTGTGCACTAGTTTTACAATAGGAGAAAACAGCCAAGCAGATGCGTGCCGCTGGGTGGCAGCGCAGGGCGGGCAGGTGAGCTCGCGGAGGTATCCCGGTGGATTCGGGGCTATAAATAAAACATCCTCCGCCTTACATCCTCAGAAGCCTTTGCCCACCCAACACCTCCAGGAATTCTCAGACATAAATCAAACAGGCAGGTACCAGGGCAGACACTGTTGGCTTTAAGAAGTTTCTGCTTTTGCTGGAGGGAGAAAAGGAGGTGGAAGCTTGGAGAATAAGCCCGATCCCCAGTCATACAGAAAACGTTTCAAGGAGCCATAAGCAACCTGATGCATTAAGAGCAAGGAGCGAAGCGAGGACCTGCGATTGCCCACGATGTTCAGACACACTGTCAGACCATTGCAGAGACTGGTAAAGAACTCACTCACTCAGCAGAAGACAGTAAGACGCGAAAGAAGTCTTCAGATTCACCCAAGTGAAAAGAAAAAGGACGCTTCCAAATATTTAGCACATGCATCTGCCAGCCTCCCTGCCACTGCTCCCAGTCCAGGAGCCTGTCCTTCACCCCAGACCCCCGCTCACGAACGTTACCTTTAAGTGTTTCCTGTAATTGTTGTAGACCACGGCCAGAAAGACGGACATGAAGATGTAGGTGTTGATGATGATGTAGGTTATAAAGTACAGAGAATACCACCCGTTGAAGTCATAGGCAGGCATCCTAGAAGGAAATCATTTCTCTCTCATGGTTTCTCATACCCTAGGTCCACAGTGCAAAAAAGTTGACCTTGGGTGACATCCCATGTGGACCACCCATGTGCACCAGGCACAGGAAAACATTCTGTCACTCTAACTCTCCCCCATATGGTGTGATGGGGCCTCAAAGCCATCACCATCCCTAATGCTCAACGGCTCGCTCCAAACTTGCCTTCAGAACTTCTTAGAGCCTTATCAGGGTGCCCACCTTCTAAGCAGGCAGGACCTTGGAGATCCCCCATTACCACCCCCTCCCTTCACAGTGAGAAAATTGAGGCCAAGAAAGGAGAGCAACTTGCACAGAATTACAGAGGGAATCTGAAGGACGGCTTGAGTCTATACCCAAGACTCTGCAGGGACCCCAGACTGCCTTGCTGGTGAGCCAGATAATTTTCTTTCCACTTTGGGACAATGAGAATGGAAAGGGCACCATTAATAACTGCACCAGACAAGAGGCCTAAATCAGGATGCATGCTCAGTGCACCTATAACAGAAACTAGATTTCGTACAGGAGGGGACGTTGGGGCTGCTGGCACAGCAGGTAGCCCAGGGTCTGAAGGAGAGACCCCAGAGAACACAAGGAGGGCCAGGAACTTCACCTTGCTGACGTTTGCCAGAGGCAGGCCCTGCTAGTGTCAGGCGACAGCTGCTTTTAAGAAAGTGAACTCTGTTTTGGGAACAGCTGTCCATGCACCTGCACTGGGGATGCACGTACATGACATCGGGGCTGTTTGCCGTCGTGACCAGCACGTAGAGCTCAAACGCTATGTCCAGGATGTTCGTGAAGTAGGGCGACCCTTCCACTGTTTTAAGACCCCTAAGGAGGAACCAAAAGCACAAAGTGAAAACCCACACACACAAATACACTTTTCCCTTTCAAGAGCACTCCTGGAGTGTCTGAATGAGGATGATGGCATCCGGTGACAGATTCTGCCACCAAAAGGCTGAACCCAAACCTGGGAGAATTCACAGGCAGGAACTTCCAAAGCAGCGTGCTCACCTATCCCCAAAAAGCTTCAAGGCCATGAGGGAGAACATGAGCACACTGAAGAGAAACAGGAGAAAGACATAGAGGATATCAGGCAGTGTGTTCCGGATGCTTCGGAAAGCCCTGCGGATCTGCGGAGACAAAATTTAATTTCATTTACAAGAAATCAGCCAATTTTCTGTGAAAATGAAAGCCACGCCCTTGTGTATGCCAGAGTATATTCTTACCTGACGACTTTCGGGGAAGTTAATTAGGAACACTGGCCTTAAAGCCCTTGACCATCGAACGCTGTGGATGTTAACAGCTTCCAGGGACCCATAGACAATCAGATCGATCAGGGTCAGCTGTGAGAGACACGGGACAGGAATGTCAGGACCACGCTGCTGGGGACAGACGAAGTGATGGTGTGGATGCCTGTTCACTGGCCAGAGGGAGGGGCACAATACGTCATGTCAAAAAGCAAGTTTGATAAACAGCATAATTCCAGTTTTGTAATATGACATTAACAGCAACTGTGATTTGTGTGTTTACTACGTGCCATGGAGTATAAAAAGCATCTTCCATAATTATTCTGCTATCCTCACCACCCCTCTAAGGTGGGCACCATTCCTGGATGGAGGTGCTTGTGGCACAGACAGGGTGAGCATGTGGCCCTGTCACACAGCTAATAAGGAGCAGGACTGAGACTGAAGCCCAGGCAGTCTGACACCAGAGTCCTTGCAGTTACCCACACGGCTACATGCTCTCACACTACATCCTACTTAACTTTAACTTTTCTTGAACTTGATATATAAAAGAGGTTGTCTAGTCTAGTAAGAGAGGTGAGAATATCTAGAATATAGAAAATCCTTATTGATCCTTCTTAATGTCAGGTTTTGTGATCACCTGGGGACAGGGCAAAAGAAGAACCCAGTGCATTTTAGACAAATATAAGTAAAACAGAATAATCTACCATCATCAGAAATGTTAATTCGGTCCCCTTGGTGCCAAGGCACAGAAGATCCAGCGAGATCCAGCACGGCAGGAAAGATGGGACAGACAGAAAGAGGTGGTGCTGGCTGCTGCACTGGGCACCCCTTGGAGGGAACTGGCGTGGCTGCCCCAGCAGAGCAGGGATGAGCAGACCGCCAAGGTCATGACTTCTGAGGAGGGTCCATGGAGGAGGCACCCCATGATGTAATCTTAAAGCAAAGACAGAGCTTTAAAAGGATAAAACTGAGCCGGCCCTGATGGCATAGCAGTTAAAGTTTGGCTCGCTCTGCTTCAGTGATCTGGGTTTGGTTCCTGGGCACAGAACCACACCACTGGTCTGTCAGTGGCCATGCTGTGGTTCACACAGAAGAACCAGAAGAACTTACAGCTATACACAACTATGTACTGGGGCTTTTGTGGGGGGAGGAAGAAAAGAGAAAAAAGGGAGAAAGATTGGCAACAGATGTTAGCTTAGGGTGAATCTTCCTCTGAAAAAAAGGACAAAACTCAGAAAGGTCAAGAGCCAGGGCAGGAAGGCACAGTAAAGGGGGTCTCAGGGAAGAACTATCGGGTACATTTGGGAAGCAGAGGGTCCTGGGGGTGGAGACAGGGGGTCAGGAAGTGACAAAGTCTGATGGCAGGCGGCTTTGAGGGCCAGGCTAAAAAGGTAAAGTCTTATTCCCAGGACCTGCGGAAGCCAGGAAGTCTTTCATATCAGGGCAATGGGGGCAAAGGAGTGAGACCCTCCTGGTAACAGATGCTGGACAGACTTGGACGGGGCAAGAGTGTGTCCTCGTTCACTTCACTCCACACGTGTTTACGGAGTGCCTCATCTGTGTAGTGTGGTTCCAGCTCCGGAGAGAGAGCAGGAGGGCTAGATGGAAAGTGCCCTCACAGAGCGCATATTCCAGCAGGAAAGAAGAGTAACGTTGATAAATATGCTCTGCAGCAGGTGGCGGGGCCTGCTCTGGAGAAAACCCAGGCGAGGCAAAGGGCTGAGGGCGTGCGGGAAGGGGGGCTGCTCTGAGGAGGTGGGCCAGGAGGGGAGGCGGTGCAGAAGCGGGAGGGGAAGGTACAAAGGCCAAAGCAGCACCACAGAGAGAGCAGGAGAGGGCGAGGGTGGGAGGAGGTGAGGGTGGACGGTAAAGGGGGAGGGAGCCAGAGCCCCACTGTGACCAGGACTTTGGCCTTTCTCTGCCGTGAGACGGAAAGCCATTGGGTAATCTCATGTGGGGGAGCACCACGACCTGACTTTTTAGGAGATAAAGAGGTACACAGACCCTGGCCTGGTAGGGGCCATGCGGCAGAAAGGGTCATGAAAGAAGGACACACCTCTGGGAGGAGAAGAGCCCGGCTGACTTCTCCATTTTATACATTCTATACTGTTTGGATTTCTCTTTCTTCCAAAAATAACCTCCCTCCTTCCTTTTCTGTACAGTTTTCCCAAAACAAATGCCCAAAACAAATAGTTAGAGAAAAGGGGAGAAAAGACAGCAGACACTCTAGGCAAAAGAGATAAAGCAAGCAGAGGAAGAGCCAGCGGTTCGTGTCAGACAGCAGGCAGCTGGGCCGGCTGGAGCGCAGGGCACCGTGTGAAAGACGTTTGCAGGACTGGTGGGGCTTGGAGCTCAACAGTCTGCTGAGCTCGGAGACATTGTTGGGCAAGAGAGGGAAGTGATCTGAGGTGTGCTCCCAGAGAGTTAATCAGCAGCGGCATCTGAAATGCATGTGTCAGGGATCCGAGGTTGAGGTGACCATGGCAGTTCTCGAAAGGGGTGACAGGGACCTGGACTACATCGTGGGAACAGAACGGCGCGCAGCAGAGGGACGATGAGGAGCCGTATCAGAATCCTCTGTTATGGTCCCCGCAGGGAGAATGGGAAACAGTGCAAGTGGCATCGTGAGGGGGGCTTGGGGAGGCCGGGTGCGAGAGGGAAGCGAGAGCATCTTGACTAGGAGGGTGATGGGAGACAAAGCACCACAGACGACGGAAAACAGCTAGGGGAGCTGAGGGGAAGAAGAGGGTGGGTTTGGTCCCACTGTATTTGAGTTGAAACACTCATGTGGAAAGGATTAGCAAGCAGTTGGCCACAGAGAAAAGAAACTGAGAGGGGAAACCAGTATCAGCTACAGCATGGGGCCCTCTCTCACCAAGTGTTTGTGGAAGCTCTGAGAATGGATGGCTCAGGGGCAAGGAGACTGGGCCTTGGGCTAACTGGAAAGATCCATGGTTCAGGGGTGTTAGCTGCTGGGCTGATAGATGAAGTATAAATTACCCTTATCTAATGATGGAGGTGGCCTCTCTGCTCGTTACAGCAGCCTTTCAGAACGCATTACCCTGCCTCACTCGGCATAACTACTTAGCATACATCTTTCCAGATTTTTCCATGAACGTATAACATTCTTTCCTTTTTTGTTTTTAACGAAAGATGTGATCCAACTGTACTGTAACTTGCTCTTTTGACTTAATGGATGATAAGAGCCCCTCCCTGATAAGAGATACATATGCTCCTTTAACACTATTTTATAGGGCTGTGTGGATGTGCGAAATTTTATTCAACACACATATATTGCTAGGAAATCGAGTTGCTTCCAATTTTTCAATATTTTGAACAGCTCAGCCATGACCAGCGTTGTGGCTAAATCTTTGAACACATGCTTCTTTCCTAAAGATGGATTCCCAGGAATGCACGTCCAGGATGCAGGAGTGTGCACACTGAAGGCTTCTGATGGGAACTGCCAAACAGCCGTCCAGAAAGACAGCTTACTCGTCCCTCCAGCAGGGAGTAGGGAGTTCTGTTTTCTCTCCATCTTGCTAACATTGTTTTATAGGCACGCATGGGAGTTTATTGTTGTTTTAATATATATCCTTAACTAGTGAAGTTAAACATTTTACCATATCTGCCATTATTTATTTCTTCTTTTGCGAGATGTCGTCACCTATCTTCAGCACTGCTGGAGTTTCTCTCTTTTTTCCCTTTAATTTGGAAGCGCTCCTGATAGCTTAGAATACTCCCACTGTGCCCTACTGGATCTCCAGATGTGGTCTGCAGGCGCTAATGGTGACGGCCGTGCCCAAGTCTGTCACTGTTGCTTTAACCGAGTCAAATGCATCAAGTCCTCTCTCTTCATAGTTTCTGCCTTTGCCCATAAACCCTTAAAGGCACTGTAATGAGCACTCACCACTATCGTTAGCATGATGCAGATGTTTTTTGTGTCCTTCCAGAAAACCATCTGAGGAGTGACTTTCGCAAAATGTACAAGTCTCCCCAAGAACGCGGTCAGGCAGAGGACTTCCACTATGGAGGTGGCCTGCACGCAGAAAACAGAGCCTGAGCACAGCATCTGTCATGCGGAGGCTCAGCTTTAGCTCTCTGATACCCCCTGATGCCACCTTGATGCCACCCTCTGAGAATCAGCAATGTCCCTTAATTTCACTGAAAGTGGCAGCAAAATTCTTTGCTGGTTGGAATGGCTTCTTCCTCTTAAAAGGAAACCTGCCCTTGAACCAGGAATTCCATGACCCAACTGGCAGGGCTTCCTGGGAGGGGCTGCATCAGCACCAGAGGACCCGGAGGCATTTCCCCAGAAAAGGGGACGTCAGGGACGGGACGGCAGAGGGGTTGCTTAAAATCACACGTGATCAGCTACTAAGCCCCGATAAATACTCTAATGGTTTATGACTACAAAAAAAAGCCAGAAATGTGGCAAGTACAAGTCACATATTACACTATAACATGACATCATGTACTTCGTACTAGTTAAATACGGTTTTAAAACATCGTTTGTCTTTCCGATTTATCCTGGTATGCACAGAAGACCAAAAACGTCCACTCCATTAAAAATGCCTTATGATTAAAGCATCAGCTCAGGGAGTAGGCAGAATTCTTCCAACCCCCAGCAATAAAAATAAAACCAAATTTGGGCCAGCCAGATGGCGCAGTGATTAAGTTCGCATGCTCGGCTTTGGCGGCCCAGGGTTCACCGGTTCGGGTCCCAGGGGAGGACCTACCCACTGTTTATGAAGCCATGCTGTGGTAGGTGTCCCATATATAAAGTGGAGGAAGATGGGCACAGATGCTAGCTCAGGGCCAATCTTCCTCAGCAAAAAGAGGAGGATTGGCAGCGGATATTAGCTCAGGGCTAATCTTCTTCAAAAATAATAAATAAAATAAATAAATAAAGCCAAATTCATATTTATTGAAATTTGAGGGAACAAAAAGGAGAAGAGGCATAGGGCCCAGCCCATCTATGGCAGAGTCCAGTTGGCCGTTTTGTTTCGAATGCTCACCAAGAAAGGCAGTGGAAACAACGCAGGTTCCTCGAAGAGGGCGAGAGAAAGGTCTATGCAAATAAAGAAGTAGGTGGCTGCTTGCATTGTCCAGTGGTTATAGAAATAGTAAAGTCTGAAGAGGAAAACACAAAGGCGGTTATACACAAGGAGCAGGAGGTCAACAGCACTCAAACGTCCCACCAGAAGCCTGTCGGCAGGTGAAATACTAAGTGACGGCTCTTCCACATTTCCTTTAAATTCTAGGGAGCGAGGGGCAGCTTGTAAGTGAGCACACACTACAAAATGCTAACAGAAAAAATATCAAGAATATTTTCGTATCTCAAAGCACATTCTCTTAGCAGTCTCAAACTAGGAATAGTGCCCTCCTCTTCAGAACGATAAGAAGAGAGTGCTTTTAGAGGACTTCGAACAGTGACTGATGCCGAGGAAACCCTCAGTTAAAGTGACCTATTATTTGTGGCATGGCAGCTTGACTGACTTATACTGTGCGTCATCTCATCTCGACATGGTGGACTCGGAGAGATTTCACTGTTACACGGTTCTCCTCCTGTTGGGGGCACAGTGCCCCCAACCTGCTCGACAGCACGCAAGGATGAAGCATTCACTGCTCTTGGGGGCACTGATGCTTAGCCCTGATAATAAAAAATGTTTTCCCCTTATTCTGAGCCAAATCTTTGGTCTTAGTTCAACTCTTAGGGAGTGAGGGAGAAAAAGCTGAATTCTCATGAAAAGAACAAATGTACAGATCTCATCCAAAGGCCACAGAAAGGAAAAAGAAAAAGTCTTCTTTCCACTTAGGCAGCTCTAAGAGGACAAGTATGTCTAGGAGGAAAAGACGATGACATGTTTTTGGCTTGGGTGCCATGTCTCCTCTCTGGGATGTTAGCCACTCACTCATGTAACTGGCCTTAATACATTTATTGAATGCTTCCCTATGTCTGAGGCACCGTGCTCTTAAAACTTAAAATTTAAAAAGCACTGGATTTTATCCAAATCTATGTGCCATGCCCTCTACACTTCTCAAGACATTTCTGGAAACAGTGTCTTCAGCTTGGGTTCAGTTCAAGAATATTAAGTGCTAAAGGATGGTTGGTTCCATACGTGACAGTGTAACACTTTCATTACCTGATGGCCTGAGGAGATGTCTCAAATGGAATATTCCTGTTGTACTGGGCATCAGAAACATAGGCAGCTGCCAGGAGAAGGTCCTGTTCCTCATTGGGAGAAAGTAACAGAGCACAATAGTCAGAGTAGGAAAGAACACTTTGCTTTTTTGTTGATATTTATGTATCAGTATAAAAGGAAGTTCCCCATCAGCTCCTCCCTCAGCGCCACTCTCTGAGGGAGCAACCAACATCAGCAGTACTGTCTGTACACTGCCAGACGTTTTCCTGGGCACTGACAACCCTACAGAGGGGCCGAGACACAGGCACACCTAACTTTCTTGAATTCAAATATAGGCTCTCAGAGGAGGAAACAAAAACAAGAAAGCACTGAATAGTATATGTACATGTACTTCAGTGGTATATTTATACACACATATATAGGGTTACAGACACAATATATATAAATATGTATTTACATATATGTGCACAAATATATAAACATGCAATTATATTTATGCTACTTGATGGGTGGTTAGAGGTTTTTCAAGGGTCATTTTGGCAAGTAAGTTATTTCCTTTCTTGATGACTTTTGAACCTAACTCCTTTTTGAGGTATGACTCCACCCTATACATACACAGAATTTAAAAATTATAAAATTGGGCGCTGGCCTGGTGGCACAGTGGTTAAGTTCACACGTTTTGCTTCTGCAGCCCAGAGTTCACCAGTTCGGATCCCAGGTGTGGACTACACAATGCTTGACAAGCCATGCTGTGGTAGGCGTCCCACATATAAAGTAGAGGAAGATGGGCGCGGATGTTAGCTCAGGGCCAGTCATCCTCAGCAAAAAGATGAGGATTGGTGGCAGATGTTAGCTCAGGGCTAATATTCCTCAAAAAAAAAATTATAAAATTGTTTTCATGTGACACAAAGCTTGCTTTTTTCACTCAATATATACTGGAAAAAAAATTTTCTAACAGTATTTATAGATCTACCTCATTCTTTTTAATAAATACCTCTTCCTTTAGGTAGTTTCCTTTTTCTCTTTTTCTATTTTGAACAGAATTACACTGAATATTATTTATTTATTTTTTTTAAGATTTTATTTTTTTTTCCTTTTTCTCCCCAAAGCCCCCCAGTACATAGTTGTATATTCTTCGTTGTGGGTCCTTCTAGTTGTGGCATGTGGGACACTGCCTCAGCGTGGTCTGATGAGCAGTGCCATGTCCGCGCCCAGGATTCAAACCGACGAAACACTGGGCTGCCTGCAGCAGAGCGCGCAAACTTAACCACTCGGCCACGGGGCCAGCCCCTACACTGAATATTTTTAAATAAATATTACACACACATATACGCATCCATATCTTGGTGCCATATGAGTGTTCTTGTAGGATAGAGCATAACTTCTGGATGAAAGGTATGTGCATTCCCTATTTTGATAGGTACTACCAAATTGCCTCCCGGAAAGTTACACAATTTATACGCCTCAAAATAGCACAGAAGCATACACGTTTTCCTGCTTCTCACCAACTTTAATATGATTTAAAGTGGTTGATAATGTCCAATCAGCCAAAGGGGCATGTTGAAATTTAGTTGACATTTCCCCATGACAGTAAGGCTGGTCCCCATCTGAGATGACTCACATTTCTCATTCTGCATAAATCAGATAAAGAATACACACAGACTAGCTACAGAGACCTTCCTGTGTACTTCAGAAGGAAAAACAACCTGATTATCCAACTGATTACCTGAGTTAGCTCTTTAAAACAGAGGACATCTTCCTGCCAGGATTGAAATGGAAACCTTGCACTGCGCAAGTAAGTCAATTTTGAAAATGCGTGATGTATTCAGAGAGGTCAAAACATTCTGAACTTTATATCTAATTTTCATATCTAATATTTATACTAGATATTTGTAGACACAGTAGAACTGTGTTTCCTAAATTTATTTCACATTACAACACTTTAAAAAAAATAAGTTACATCGCCTTAAAAACACAAACATTAGTTATCCAGATAAGTCTTTTAATAGGCATTTCACCAAAGAAGATATATGGATGGCAAATAAGCACATGAAAAGATGCTCAATATCATTAGTCATTAGGGAAATGCAAACTTAAGCCACAGTGAGATATCACCACACATCCACCACAATGGTTGAAACTAGAGACTGACCATACCAAGTGTTGACAAGGATGTGGAGCAACCGGAACTCTCACACATTGTTGGTAGGAATGGAAAATGGTGCATTTATGTTAGCAAACAGTTTGGTAGTTTCTTGGCCATTCCACTTCCAAGTATTTACCAAAGAGAAAGAAAGCATACGTCCACAGAAAGACTCGCACATTCAACCTGAGAATGTGGCTTATGTTAGACACGCCATTCCAAAGTTGCATGTGTATACTAACATTCACAGCAGCTTCATAGCCAAAAACTAGAAACAACCAAAATGTCTACAAACAGGTGAACGGATAAACAAAATATGGATTCCAACCATACCATGGAATACTATTCAGCAATGAAAAAGAATGAATTACTGACAAACATAACAAAATGGCTGAATCTCAAAATAATTATGCTGAGTGAAAGAAGCCAACTCTTCCCCCAAAAAAGAGTACTTACTATAGGATTCCATCTATAGAAAGGTAGAAAATGCAAACTAATCTATAGTGCCAGAAACTGGATTGGTTGCCTGGGGACAGGAGGAGGAGGGGATGGAGAGAGGGATGGATTACAAACAGGCACAAGGAGACTTTTGGGGACGACGGATATGTGCACTCCCTTGAATGTGGCGTTAATATCACAGTGTATTCATAGGCCAAGACTCGTCAGACTGTACACTTTAAACATGTAGTTTAGTGTGTATCAACCATAGCTCAATAAAGCTGTTAAAAATTGCCCAGGGGGCCGCCGTGGCCGAGTGGTTAAGTTTGCGCGCTCTACTTCGGCGGGCAGCCCAGGGTTTCTCGGGTTCGGATCCTGGGCGCGGACACGACGCTGCTCATCAGGCCATGCTGGGGCGGGGTCACACTTACCACAACTAGAAGGACCCACAACTAAAATATAACTGTCTACTGGGGGGGTTTGGGGAGAAAAAGCAAAAGAAAACAATGTGTATAAAGCTAATTATGATAAAAGCAATATATTTTTTTAAAAAAAGAAGATTGGCAACAGTTGTTAGCTCAGGTGCCAATCTTTAAAAAAAAATGTGTATAAAACTAATTATGATAAAAGTAATACATTTTTTAAAAAATGTTTGGATTAAAAATCACTGTGAAATAATAATCTCACAGATGAATTAACTGCGGCAAGAACCCACCACCTTTTGAGTTGCACGCATTCTCAGGGCTGATACGGCAATTCTTACAGGCAAGTTATTAAAAACCAAGGAGCACCACATAAATGTGTTAAACATTTATCACACACTTTTCTTTTGTTTAAAAAATATTTTAGTAGAAAAATCTATTACTACCAAATATTTTCCCATTAAACATCTGGAACCTTGAGGAACACGAGAGTTCCCCAGGATATGCTTAGAAATCTGTTTTAGGTAGGAAATGCCTAGCATCAATGAGTTGATTTTTCTTAATGAATGCACACTAATTTGAAGAAAATTGCATTAAGCCTCAAAAAGATCATACTGGGACAGCAAATAATTCTGATACTAAGGTTTTTAAAATATATATTTAAAGCAAAATCTCTTAAAGCCACTACTAGTCCCCCCAAAAAGATGACATGCTTCCAGTCCCAGTGAAACCGTTTGTCCACAAACATGAGCGGTTTGGCAGTGGTGGATTTGAGGTCATTCATACACGCTCTAGATGGAGAATGGAAAAAAATGCTCAGCAGCAATTCCTCAGCCAGGCAGGCCCTGAGGGTTACCTCCATCAGCCATCACCCAGACTCCCGACACTGAATGAAATAAGCGCCAGGGCACCCCTGCCAAGCCCCTTGCCATCTGAACTCATGCCTGTTATATTTAAATACGCTGACACTTGCATAATAGCTAGTTCACCTCTACATTAACATTTCAAAGCTTTCCCATTCTTACCAACTATCACATTTCCAATTTCTGTCACCTTTTCAAGTTTTGTCGGCTATACTTCCTGGTCCTACTTGTCTTCCTTCCCTCCATCCCATTTGTGTGCAATGTCTGTCTCCTGCCCATTTCTGCTTGGGAGGAAGTACTCTCAACACGCAGACCTATTGTCACGAGCATTCTCACTTGTATTAAGGCCACTTGTATCTTCCCATAAAACAAAGTGTTTCCACCCATCCCATGAATGTGGCTTAGGTGAGACATGCTGCTCCAAAACTGCACATACTTTTCAAGGTTACGTGGGAACCACTGCCCATATTTACCATGAAAAGGGCAAAGACCACAGAGCAGATGTTCCCCCAGCTGCAGCTTACGTGTGGCTTCCTGCCTTAAAGCAGCAGCCCAGCCTGTGGGCGGCACTGGTGATGGCCAGGGGGGTAATGCTCAACTCCCAGGGCACATTTCAATCACCTTCAGAGCTTTTGCCTTTAAAGATCCCATTCCCCAGACCAACTGCACCAGAATTGCTGGAGGTGGGACCCAGGACAAAATTTTCGAACTTCCCAGGTGATTCCAACGTGCAGCCAAGACTGAAAATTACTGGTCTAACTACGGCCATTTCATTTCTGCTTCTCGTATGTTTTGTGTTCTCTTTGCACTGTGACAATGATCGACTGCTCTTGATTTTCTTTTTCTGCTTTTTTCATAGCGGTGATGTTTCCTTTCCTCTCCCCAAGATTTAAAATTGTACTTAAGATTTTTGTGTTTTCTCTTCCTACCCTTCCGACTTTGTAAGCCTTCATTCTGCGGAAGGTGAATAACTCAGAACCCCTTGGGGAGAGAGGGAGGGGAGTGTTCAGGAGGGAGAGCAAGACTGATTCCAGAAGCTTTCAGTGGAGAGCAAGGAAGTTCGTCCCTAAGCCCCCGAGGCAGGAATAAACAACCGTAAACTCCAGACACCTCTGAGTCAGTCAACAAGAACTCTGACAAAACACAGAGTTCTTGATAGAACTGCTTTGAAAAAAGCTGATATGTCTTGTTTAGATATACATGAAAATTAACATAACTAACCCTAACTTAAGGTAAAGAGAAATTACCATAAATTTTAAGTTAAATGCTTCTGTCACTACAAGTACTATCTCTTCTGTCTGTCTCTCTCTGCTTCCCTTCCTTCCTCCCACAGGTTATGGGCACAGTGACGCACAGCATAGAATAGACCATTGCTTTCCCACGCAACCCCCACTCAAAAGCTTCAAGTGACTTCTCTTTGAGTGCCCACAGAATCTAATGTAAAACCCCTGGCTTAGCATTTGGGGCTCCAATCTCCCCTCTCTCTCCAACTTTGTCTCCCTCACTTTCCTTACAGGAACTTTCTTCTTTGGCTAAAACTGGTAGACTCGTTGTCCACTGTCCCACCACCAGCCCCACTCCGTGTCTGAGCTCATGCTCACTCAAAACCAGGAATGTCCTTTCCACTTTCCTTCACTGTGGGCCCAGCTCAAATGTCACTTTCTCCATGAAGACTGGCAACACCAACAGCTTCCGTTTCCATATGGAGAGACTGCCATGAGAAGCCGGGGTTGGGAAATATATTGTGGGCATTTCATACAAAGAAACAGCTGCTAAGGGTAAGCTGGGGCACAGCAGACGGGGCAAGAAGGGGGAAAGATTAGGTGGCAATTCAGTGTTAGTATAAACACCCATGTCCCTCTATGCAGAAAGACCAGAAACCTGCAGGCCAAGCGCAGCCTAAAGATGTGTTTTGTTTGGCTCGGAGAGTGCTTTATGGATGCTGGCTACTAATTCAAATTTTTTAAAAACTGGAACTTACACAAAAATGTGAACTTCTGGTTTCTCCTTAAAAGAGCATAACATCTGGCAACGCTGGGCTGTATTTCAGTAACCTTTTGCTGCCCACCCTGATGCTCAGTCACCTGAACAAATACTTATTATTTTCCAAAATTCTGTGGGTCTCGCAGGCAGTCCTTCTGGTCTGGGCCAACTTAGCTGATCTCTATGGTCATCTGGGGCTGGACAGTCCAGGACAGCCACATTCACACGTCTTGGCCATATGCATCACGCAGCAGGCTAGCCAGGGGGCTTTCACACGGTGGTGGTCCATGGGTTCCCAAGAGCATCAGGAGAGCAAGCAGCGATGCTCAAGTATTTTTCATACCTCTGCTTACATCACATCTGCTAATGTCCCATTGGCCCAAGGAAGTCTCAAGGTCACTGGTCTCAAGGGCTGGAGAAATCGACTCCACCTCCTGAGGTAAGGAGTTGCAAGAGCACATTGCAAAGGGAGAAAGCATCCAGGGATGGGAAGAATTTGTGGACATTTTTGCAATCTATGATAGCCTGTATGGCCACAACCAGTTGGAGGTGGATAGCTGTGGTCTTCTTTGGACAGGGGACATGCCCTCCAGGTCACCACAAACTCCACTCCCTTCCCCAACTGAGTCATTCCCACCTAGGCCAATGTTGCTGCCTGGCCCCTGTGGGCATTTCAGCTTGTGACCACATAATTTCAGCTTGCAGCTCTCCCAAGCCCTCCTGGTCACGGCTATTTTCCTCCTGCAAAGAACTTCTCTGCAAATTGCTATAAGAGAACACTAGGGGACCAAGAGCCGAGGACAGGGTAGTCTAAGACCTGAAGAACAGGTTTAAGAATACTAACATTCAGGGGCTGGCCTGGTGGAGCGGGGCTTAAATTCACATGTTCCTCTTTGGTGGCCTGGAGTTCGCTGATTTGGATCCTGGGTGCAGATCTACACCCTGCTTGTCAAGCCATGCTGTGGCAGATGTCTCACATAAAATAGAAGAAGATGGGCACGGATGTTAGCTCAGGGCCAGTCTTCCTCAGCAAAAAGAGAAGGATTGGCAGCAGATGTTAGCTTAGGGCTAATCTTCCTCAAAAAAACAAAAAAAGAATACGAACATTCAAAAAGAAGCACAATGAATCAAGAAGTGATCACATTAAGTCACAAAGAAACAGCATAGGTCACAGGCTCTCAGCCCTGGCTGCCCTTTCCAATCATTTGGTAGCTTTAAAGTTTCTGTTACCCAGACCAATTAAATCAGAATCTCAGGGGAAGGGCTTGAGCCCAGACATACTTCTAAAAGCTCCCCAGGTAACTGCAACCAACAGTAAAGTGGAGAATCACGAGCGCTGGGCTGTTTCTATTTCGAAGCTGGTAAACGCACCAGAGGCGTGCACGGCCATCTGAGCAGCTGCCAAAACAAACTCCAGGCAGAAAAGGGCTCTAAAAATACTACCTCAAAGGAGAGGGTGGAAATACGTTTCAGGTGACTAGACAGTTTCTTGTTAAGTGACCCCAAACTAACTTTCAAATAGGTCAATCAGGTCATAGTGACCACCAAGCACGAGGTCAGAGCCTGGGAGGGAAGGAGGTCCAGGAGCAACTCTGGTTTGATGACTCAGCCATCACTGTCATCTCAGGCTGTTGGTACCAGGCCCCTCACCTTTTAAGCCTGCTCCCCTGGGGGAGGTCTTTGAAAGACACAGAGACATAAATATCTGGTCCCCCGCAGGCATGCATTAAGCCAAAGGACTCACAAACTCGGCCAGGACTCTGGGCTGTCAGTCCTTCTTGCATTTCTTGAAGTTTCAAGTTATTAGTTCTTTACATTCTGCTCTTATTTAGACAAAGAAGGATTAAGGACACAGAATGAGGATTGACAGTCTCAAGCTAACAATATTTTCTTTGCACTGAAGATTCCAGCAATCACACGCCCATCGCTTTGCAGATTGAGGGGACCAAGACCCGGCTTGAGTCAGAGCTGGAGATGAAGAATCCTTCCCCTCCTCTTTCTCCTTGACCTGTTCCTCTCCCTGTTAAGGGATAAGGGACCTGGTAGAATCCACCTGTTGGAAGTGATCAGGCCCCTTTGGGAGACCCGGAGACCGTCGTTGCCAGGCGGGTCGGGGGGGGGGGGGGGGGATGCACCAGGCAGAGCTTTTAAATGCCATACAGAAACCTGTCCTGTGGACCCTCTTGAGCAGGCTACAGGAGCCCAGTGAGAAGAGGCAGGGGCCACACAGCAGCCCCGAGCTGAAGGGGCCAGCTCACCTTTCACCTCCCACACACCTGCACAACCAAAAGGACATGCAGCACACATGAATGGACCGGGAGAGGCTCAAAGCCTGGCTGTCAATACCCTGTGCCAGGCGCTGTGCCCTGGGCCTGACTGACTTGGTCTTCATGACTCCTCCGAGTAGGGTGTGATTTACCATCCCCACCTTACACAGGGGAAACCAGAGGCTGGAGGAGGAGACGAGCCCCAGCATCTCCTCATTCCCCAGCTAAGATTTTCTGACTCAGAGCCGGGGCTCCTACCCTTGGAGCCCTGCCTCCACTCTCTGAGCTCTTGTCCAGCGAAAGGAAACAGCCCGGGAAGGGCTGCTTGGAAGCTCCAAGTCGTCCAAAGGAGCTCAGGCTGTCGCAGCGAAAACAGAGCTGAGCAGCTGTGCAGCCCATCTGCTCGGTCCCGAAGGCATCGGAAGAGCCAGCGCTGCATCAGCACTCCCAGACCCACATCCTGCAGCCTCCTTCCCGGGCGTTACCCTGCCATGGGACCCTCGGTCGTTTTCCTGCCGCCATGGATAGCAGTGCGGCGTGCACGGGCCAGCCGGACCGGGGGGCGCACCGGGGCGCGCCACATTGGGACTGGACCTCCAACACCGACCCCGGTCGCGGATCCCAGCTCGGCCCCTGCTTGGGGGAGGTGGCTCCGGATGGGCCTCGGGGTGCAGGTCTGACGGCTCCCCTAACGACTCCAACTTGCGGGGCTGCAGCCCGGGGAGGGGAGCCCACGCGCTCCAGCCAGCTGTGCGCTTCCCGCACACAGAGGACTCAGGGGACGCAAGAAGCCCCAGGGTGGAGGGGCTCCTCGCCAGCTTCCCCACGCGGGACCCTCATTCCCAGCACCCGACGCGGGTTTTTCGTGGGTTCGCCTTCTACCGAGGAGCCCTGGGGGTTTCCTGGAGGGAAATCTGGGGGGCCAGGAGACGCTGCCGTCGGTGCACCGCCACAAGCCTTTGGGGCTCCCTGCGGGCGCGGACGGTCATCCCCTTACCTCCCGAGCAGGCGGCTCCTCTGGGGGCTGCGGGTGCGGGCGGCGCACCCCCGCGGCTCGGCGGGCCCCGGGCATCTCGGCCGGGCCGGGATGCGGGAGCGTCGGGGCCGCCGCGGACTCTGCCCTCGGGCCGGCGGGAGGCAGGGGCTCCGCGCGCTCCGAGCGGCCCTTCACGTGACCGCGGCGAGGACGGCCCGCTGCGGCCCCGAGGGCGGAGGGCTAGCGGCGGGCGCGGCGGGCTCCCAGGCTCGGGCCCTTTCCCGGGCCGGCCTCGGGGCCGCGCTCCGGAGCCAGGGGCG